TATATACCACCTCCCAGCTTTTGTTGATATTTTGAGGCAGGATCTCATATAGCTCAGGCTAGCCTCAAACTTTCTATGTAGCCCAGGCTGGCCTTGAGATTCTGGTCCTACTTTCTCCTCCCAAATCCTGGGATTACAGGAGTTGAGTCAACATGCCTTTTTCAGATTCTCTTGATCTCAGCCACAGCATCTACAAAATCCAGAGGAAGATGAGGTGTCTGGTGTGCTTGGATGTTCCTTTGCTCTCTCCCACTTCCCTTCCTTTTCCTTCCCTTCCCTTCCTTTCCCTTTCCTTCCTTTTCTTCTCCTGCCCTTCCCTTCTCTCTCCTACCCTGATCTTTCATGGAGTTCATTCTAAGAACTGGTAGCTTCACACTGTAACTCTCTCTTTCTCCAAATTGCAAGTGATCAAATAAACGATGTATACTAGGGGTCAGGACTTTAATTTCCCCATCCCTGCAAAGTTCCTGAATACAATAAAGTAGAAAGAGGACAGCTTTGGAACCCAGAAGATTTCACTCCAGCCATGACTCTACTTGCTGCTGGGGAGCTTGGGCAAAATGAGAATGAAAGTAGTGAGATCAGCCTCATGGGACTGATGTAGAAATTAAATGAGTTTATCAAATGTTTGTAGCTGGAAAGGGGTTCTTGTCACTTCTTAACATTTTTATAGGGGTTGTAGATACCAGACATGTCCATGAGCCAGCAAAGACATGGGTTGTGACTAATGAAGTCTCAAGAAGTTCTCTCCCTACAAACAACATATCCTTCCAGAGTTTACTATCTGGTTCTTACTCATGTAGGCACACAGAAAGTTAAGATTTCATAGCCTCATGTCAGATGCTATACCCATTACCAACATGACTGCTTAAACACGAACTGAACAAGGTCAACAATAGACGTGCAATATGGACAGGGAAGTGCCTGTAGCATTAACCTCAGTTGTCTGGAGCCTCAACCCTACACAGAGAGCTATAGACAACTAAAGGACGCCGAGAGTGGGACTTACCTGAGGAAGCAGACATCAATTACTTAGCCGATACCAAATGCTCATCCTTGAAAATATCATACAAGTATATGTATTTAGGAGGGAGGAATACGGATATATGGGAGGGCTTGGAGGAAGGAAAGGGAAAGGAAGAAATATATAATCGTCTTATAATCTCAAAAACTAAAATACTTGAAATGATTTCCTAGTCTTTTTTAAAAAATATTTTTATTTTAAATTATGTGGATGTTTGTGTGTCTGTACATGCAGAGGAGTGCAGGCACCCACTGAGGCTAGAGGCGCTGTATCTCTCTAGCATTCCAGGTGGTTTTGAGCCATCTGGTGTGGGTGCTGGGAATCAAACTCATGTCTTCTGCAAGATCAGTCCATGTTTTTAACTGCTGAGCCATCTCACCATTTTTGTGTTGATGAGGAACTATGTAACTGAAGTTTGGCAAATGGACTGTGAAAGCAGGTAGTGTATGTCCCCTATGGGTCTGGTTAGGTTAGTACCAAACCTACTGAGCATCATAGTACACTGAAGTACTAGTTACTTCTGTAATTGTCTGCTTCAATGTCACCGAGAGATCCCAAGGTACTTTTATTCCCCGTATTGCTGGTCAAGGAAAAGAGCCAGCTTTAAAAAAAACAAAACAAAAAAACCATTTCACAGAATGTGTCCCTTTTATACCACCATGAAGTTGGAGTTGAACTGTCATGATCTGGTAAGAGTCTATGTGGGAAGATTTGTGATGCCCTTTCATTGATTGAAAGGTAGGCACAAGAAAGTCTACACTATAACCCCCAGGATCGAGCTACAATGTATGACAAACAAAATAGGAGCCAGGTTCTCTGGCAGAGTGTACTTCTTTGCATGTCTCCTCCCCTTTCTGCCTGAAGTGACAACTACCCTTCAACAGCTAATCCTGGATGATTTCAGAACTCAATTCAACGCGCCTTCTAGGAATGCGCTCAGACTCAGGGTTAGACCTTTGTGCTGTATTCTAATACACAAACATGCTTCCTTTGAAAAGTAACATTTCTTTCTTCAGCTGCAAACAATCGATTCCCAGGGTTTGGATATGGTTTCAATGTGTCCCCAAGAGTATGTAGGCTGGGAGCTTGCTCCCCCAACTTGTATTGATGAGAGCTGGTCGCTCCCTTAAGAGGGAACCCCCCTTCTCTGGCTTTCTGTCTTGCTGTGTGATCTCTCTGTCCTTATGCCGTGAGGTCCTCACCAGGCCTGGGTTGATTCTGGTACCATACCCCTGAACTTCCAGAACTGCAAGCTAAATGAGCCATTTTTCTTGAGAGCTATTTTGCCTCGAGTATTTTGTTGTAGTAAATACTGACTAATGCACTGCTATAGACTTTGGAATGTTCAGGTATTCAAAACAAAACAAAACACAATCTTCCATTATTTTGTCACCTAAGGGGTATTTTCACACACACACACACAACTTAGTTTCCCTTTAATTTTCATACTTGCTTTTCCCTTTTACTATAGGTCTTGAAGGATTTTCTATTTGCCCATAGGAATTGAAGTATGCAATTGTTTGTAGATATCCCACTATTAAGCATACCAAAGAATGAAGCCTTCTTGTTATGATTTTACTATAATGAAAATCTCCTTATAGTAAATGATTCTGAGATGAACAACCTTGAATGTAAATCTTTGCCTACATTTCTGATGATGTAATTTTGAAAGATTATTATTGTTTTGTTTTCAGTTAGGTGTATGCATGTGTGCCCGACTGTGGGTTTGTGTGTGAGTGCAGTGCTCTCAGAGGCTGGAGGCATCGGATCCCCCGGGAGCTGGAGTTGCGGGCAGCTGTGAGCTGGCTGCTGGAAGCCAAACTCAAGCCCTCTGCAGGAGCAGCACAGACTCTTAACTTCTGAACCGTCTCCCCAGTTCTTTTACTTCTTAGGATAAACTCTGAGGAGTAAAATTTCAGAGTCAAGGGGGGTACAAAAGGATCCAAAAGCGAGGAAGGAAGAGTGGAAAACCTCTCCAGAACCTGCCTTTTCCTTTCTAGTGGTTCTCTTCTAATGCCTCCTGTGTAAATGGAGCTCTTCATTGGTCTAAGTAATAAAAACCCAGAGTCGGATATAGACGGAAATGCTGAGAGATTAGAGAGAAGGAGCAAGCCACGACACACCTTAGCTCAGCAGACAAGAGAGCAAGTTCCTGATTCTCCCTGCTTATATCCTGTTTCCGCCCAGCTACTTCAGTTCCTGTCTGTACAGACCTCCAGACCTCTATGGTTTGCTAGTGGCAAGCTCCATTCTCTGACTGTCAGACAGGCTTTATCTGTACAAGCAAGATACCACCACAGCACAGAATTACATCACGTGCATTTATAGCGTCCAGATTGTGGCAAAAGTGGGAGACTATACATCCGGATTATGACTCACAGATGAAACTCCTTCCTTTTGTTTAATTGAAAAAAACTATTTTTATACACCATACATTGATCATGTTTTTCCTCTCCCCCCTATTTCTCCCACGAAACCCTTGTCTAGTTTAGGTGGGTGAGTTGCTGAGGTGGCTCCAAGGGGAAAGGGGCTTGCCAACAAGCTTCATGACCTAAGTTTGACTCCTGTACCCGCAAGGAGGAAGGACAGGGCCGACTCCTGAAAGTTGTACTCTGACCTCCATACATGTGCTGTGGTGCTCACTGCCCCTCCCCTGATTAAATGTAATCAGACAGTTAACTTGTTAGGAGACAATTACTCTCTCTGTTGCATTTGTTTGCATTTCTGTGATTACTAGTAGATATAAACGTTTCCTCTCCAAATCTCCACTGGTCATTGTATTTCTTGTATGATTTGCTGTTGTGACTCAAATATGAGGCATCATGACTTTCGAAAGTATCCTTTCTTTTTTTTTTAATTCTGTAAAAAACATCAGACTCCATCAGCCAGACAGCACAAGGGAAACTTTTCACATGAATTGATTGATGTCTGTACTTGCATATACATACACAGAGTTCAGAGTGTGTTTTCTAGTAATAAGAATAGATGGAATTGTGGTTCCAAATGCACTTGACCTCCAGGGACTGACAGGTTCTGGGGAACTGACAAAGTAGCCCAGAAAAAGAAATCGAGACTTTCTAAGGGCGAGCCAGGAAGTCATGCCCAAACCTAGCCTTCCCCCTCTCTTCAAAGCATTCTCCATTGGCCAGTGTTTAAATCACCTTTGGCACAACCTCTATTGGGTCATCCTTTAGAACCACAGAGGAAAAAATAAAACCTATCACTTCGTAAAACTAGAACCCAGACATTAATTAGAGAATTGCTCACCTGGACCAGGGTGATGCCTTTGTTAATGAGCCCTCATATAATTATCACCCAAGTTTTTTTTACACCAAGTGTGAGTTCTCAAGAGAAATTGCCATGGTCTCTTAAGAATAAAATTACAGAATGCTAGAGAACACGGGCAAGAAATATCAGTTTGTTGCCAGAGAGCTAATATGGTGAGTCACTGGCTGGAATCTAGCATTTTACTGGACCTCAGAAAAGCGTCTCAAATTTTCTTTGAGAAGCAGAGGAATTCATCTTACAAACCTAAGAGCTTCAAGTTTTCTTTCTTTCTTTCTTTCTTTCTTTCTTTCTTTCTTTCTTTCTTTCTTTCCTCTTGTTCCTTTCTTTCTTTCTTTCTTTCTTTCTTTCTTTCTTTCTTTCTTTCTTTCTTTCTTTCTTTTCTCTTCTTCCTGTCTGTCTGTCTGTTTGCCTGCCTTCCTTCCTTCCTTCCTTTCTTTTTTGTTTTTATTTTGTTAGGTTTTGTTTGGTTTTGAGACAGGGTTTCTCTGTATAGCCCTTGCTGTCCTGGAACTAGCTTGCAGACCAGGCTGGCCTCGAACTCACAAAGATCCACATGCTTCTGCCTCCCAAGTGCTGGGATTAAAGGCATGCACTACCACCACCCGGCTTGAGCTTCAAGTTCTGAATGAGGAAAGTGGACAGATTTTTATTTTGTGATAAAAATGTTGAAAACTTTTTTTTGGCTTAGGGATGAAAACTAAGAACAGCCTTCCTGGAAGCCTGGAGTGAATGAATGTGCTGTCTCTTTTTATCTGACTAGTAATCCTCGTCAGTACAGACATGCATCAGTATGCCGTTCAGGTAACAAATAATTACTCACTCTTTGCTCTGCCAATAAGTAATTTCTTGACTGTGCTAACATAATGGCCACCATGGGCATGATTATTTGGACTTGGAAGAACTGATGGTGTGATTACATTGACCTTTACAATAATGTATCCAGGTCCCCCTCTCACAGCCCATGCTTGTGAACAGGTAACTCAAGCGAGCCTCATCCCTTTTTCTTCAGCTTGGGTGGTAGATGCATCAGTACCCCCTCCCCACGGCACACGTGGCAATAATTAAAACCTTGGCATGGCACTTACATAAAAGATATGTGAACTATTCCAGGCCGGGACTGTGAATTGATTACTACCTTCCCTAATCAATTGCAGACATCCTTAATCGTGTGTCATCTTGACAGGAGAGCCAGCAATGACAACCTGAGGAGAGTTACAAAGTGCTTAGGGATGAAAAATATTCATTTCCCCTGGCATGCATGTGAATGAAGAGATTCTAGAAATATGCTGATAAAAGAAATCATCATATTTCATAACCCCAGCCTCCTCCATCCTCTGATGTTTCTGGCCTTGCTTGCTCATTTATAATAACATTCAAATTAAGTATAAGTTTAAACTGATGTTATAGACTGAATGCTCATGTCCTCTGAACCCCAGATTTGTGTGTTAAATCCTAGCTCCAGGTGCAGTGGTATTTGGAGATGGGGCCTTGGGGTAGTAACTCCTGCTAGATTAAGCCCTTCCCAAGGGGTTAGTGTACTGAAAAGGAAAATGCATCATACGCCACTCTCCCTCTCTGCCTCATAAAGCTATAGTGAGAAGTCAGCCCTCTACAAGCCAGGAGCCCTTGCCAAGAATTGAACTGATAGAGTACCTTGATCTTGAACTCAAAGGCCTCCAAACTGAGCTATCCAGTTCACAGTAAACATCTTCTATGGCAGTATTGCAGACTTAGAAATTGAATTTGTCAGGGATTTTTGTTGTGTGATATTTTGCTTGTGTTCTGACAAATAAAGTTTGCCTGGAGATCAGGGGGTGGAGCTAGACCAGCTGCACATGTGGACTTCCAACAACTGGTACTTCATGCAGAGGATTCGTACAAGATCAGGTTAGCATCGTCTGGGACTTGAGAGATGGCTCAACCGTAAAGAGTGCTTGCTGCTTGTCCAGAACACCCAATATCTGATCTAACACCCATGTTAGGTGTCTCCAGGGATCTGATCCTATCTTCTAGCTCCTGTGGGTACCTACATGCATGGGGCATTCACGCACACATACACAAACACATAAATAAAAATGGATATGAACCTGGAAAAAAAGATGCATAATCTGAAGTTACAGTGTCAAGCAATCCAAGCCAAGTAATACTCTTTAAATTTATATAAAGTCATTTCTCAACCAATATATTCACACAAGCTTGGCTGATTTTGCAAGGACATTGTTCCTTCAGAACCTCAATAAGAAGTGTTAAATTTGATGATAGTCTCTCAACCTACCAAAAATGAAAATAAAAGGAAAAAATGAGAAAAAAATTAAGATTGTGGCAGAAAACTAAAAAACCATTAAGACACAACTGGATGATGCTCTATTGATATGTTCAACACATTTCAGATATGTGAAAAATGGTGATGGAATTCAATTTATGCTTATGACATTTTATAGTCTGACAAGCTTTTCAGAGAATCATTTTATTTCATATTAGGATGAATCAGAAAAGCAACTTCCCTCAGGAGCTCCTGGTGTAAGAGACACAGTAGTAGTAAGATGCAGAGATGAACATATTAGAGAAACTTGCATCAGGGAAATTGCCAGTAAATTTCAAAGGACAATGGTTTTCCATTGAGGAGGGAAGATGGGTGTGTCTGAGAGTCACAAATGATATCCCATATCTGTCTCCACTGTAACCTCCCCATCCTAGACTTCACCATTACTCTTCAGCAGGATGGTTGCAATAGTTCCCTAGCCAGTCTCCACAAGTGTCAGATACTGGGTGTGAGAGCTTGCTAAGAGATGGCTTTGTGAGGATCTCTATTGTGTTGTCCATACTACATTTCCCAGACTCCTGGCTGTTTTCTGGTTAGATTCCCCTGGGAAGAAGACTCTGGTTTAGAGATCGGAAAGTGCTTCTGTTTAGTTATCTGTTGTGATTAATTAATGTTGACTGTCAGCTTGACAGGACTTAGCATCACAATGGAAACATATCTTTGGATGTGTCTGTGAGGGAGGCAGTTGCTAAATTATGTTAGCTGAAGTAATAGGAGGATCCACCCTACATGTGAGCATCACCAGTTCACAGGCTGGGATGCTGGACTGACTAAAAGGGAGAATGGGAACCAAAGAGCTCTCTGCTTCCTGACTGATGGCCCCCTGAAACCCCCGCAGCATGACCTCCTCACCATGATGGACTATGCCCTCACACTGTGAACCACAATAAACTCTCCCTTCCCTAGCTTGTTCTGTCGGGTGTATTGAGGCAGCAACAAGGAAGCACCTTCTCCTAAAGGAAGCCACTGGGGTGAGGCTCTTTCCTTCTCGCTTTTAAGTTGCTGTTTAGTTAGTTATTTTGATGTATGTGGGTATTTTGCCTATGTGTATGTGTGTGCACCATGCATGTGCTTGGTGCCAGCAGAAATCAAGAGACAGTGTCTGATCCTTTGGAACTGGACTTACAGACGGTTGTGAGCTGCCATGTGGGGCCTGGGAATTGAACCCAGGTCCCCTGGAAGAGCATTCAGTGCTTTTAACTTCTGCATCATGACTCCAGCCCCTAAGAGTTTGTTTATAATATGTAATAGTATACATAATATTTATAACACACACACACATACATAGAAAACAAAACTGTGGCTCCTGTCTCTAATGCTAGTGGGAGTTCAAGGTCATCTTTGACTACCTAGCAAATCTGAAGACACCTAAGGCTACATCATGAGACCCTGTTTCAAGAAGCCGCAACTGAAGGCTAAAGAGATGGTTTACCCCTTAAGAGCTCTCTCTGCTCAAATACAAGGACCCCCAGTTCAGGTTCCAGCATCCTTATAAAAGCTGGGTGTGGTCCTGAGCTCTCTTGTAACTCCAGTATTGAGTGGGACAGGAACAGGAGGATCGATGAGGCTTGCTGGTTGCAAATGTAGTTGAAAAACAGGAGCGCAAGGTTAAGCTAGAGATCTGGCCCCAAAGAAACAAGGTGAAGAGTGATAGAGAGTGGTACCCTTTCCCCTCCTCTACTCTCTGTGCCTGCCATGCATAGGCATCTACACACACACACCTCCTCATAGACCGCACACAAATATAACACACACACATGCACACGCATGTGCCTGCACACATACAAGCACACAGACACTCATACACACACGCACATAAAAAAAAGAAAAAAGAGAAAAAGAATAACAAAAATCTAGTAAAAAAGCTATGAGTTATTATCAGACTCCCATAATAATTAGTTAACAACCACTGATTGGTGCTTTGGATAACACACATTATGTTTCAGGTAAGATTCTATTAAGTAGTTTCCACTGAAACATACTGAACAAAGAATTTTTGTTCCTGTACAGCCAACCCTGTTTCTGTTGCTTAGCAATGGGCCCTATCATACCATGACAGGCTTTGTGTTTTCCTTTCCAAAGGACCAGTATGCCACAGGTACTTCCCAACTTTACCACAGTATTCCCATGATAAGGGACTGATAATCATTCCTCATTTAATCTAGCAAACCAAAAATCCTCAAGGCGATGAGCTTTCCTTTTGATTGCTGCAAAGACACAGTCCTTGTTTTTTCAATGCGAAAATTGTATCCTCACTCATTGAAGTCATTTGGGGACAGATTGGCCTTTGTGACAAAGAATCAGTCATGGCTAATACACATAAGAGCTGTGGGCTGGGCAATTGGAAAATGCAAAAGATATTTCATAGAGGGTCTTGCTTTGTATGCTGTAAAGCCACAGCTCTAAGATACAGTGTCTGCTCTGTAAGCACTATGATGCACAGGAAAGATTAACTTGGGAGAAAAAGAAGCAAACAGTATGGGACAGTATGCAATTAGCTGCTAAATGCTGAAGCATTCAAAGAAAAGCCTTTTAAGAATTCTGAAAGGGTGGAAGGTTAAGGAAAAGAGCCAGTGTTTATCAAGTGCCTCCCCTACAGCAGCACTTCAAATGTACGGTCTCTTCCAATAGTCATAACAGGACCTTGAAGCCACCGCAGTCATCATCTTCATTTTCAAGAGAGGACAGAAAGCCAAAGGTTAATTAGCTCGCTAGTAAACAAATCCAGGACTGGATGAAATGAAGGAGAGTTGTAGAGTGTAGCGAGATAAAGATCCTCCCACTGCACAGCCCCCCCCCCAGCTCTCTGTGCATTATTCATAAATTCAAGGCTGAATTCCAGGTCCTGTGGTCCTCTGGAAACAGAGCTAAGCTTGGGTTTAGGCTTAGGGACCTTTGTGAATACCTGTCCTTTCTGCCAACAGGAAGTCCCCTGGGTCACAGGTAAAGGAAGAAGGATTTCTTTTTATATTGTCTTTGAACAATGAATCCAGTGGCATGGAGCATGATTTGCATAGAAACAGACTGACCCACAAAAACACACCCCTGTTTTTACAACAGCCACATCACCTCCACCCTCCTGATTTGAACTGGTTTACATTTCTGTCCCAGCTATCTTTCTCCTTGATTGCATTCAGAACACTCTGGCCTCTTCTGACGAAACTTTTCCTTGAATTTTATCTCCAGTCCTGTTGTAAAGATTTCCCAGTGTAACAGTGGGCATTATCACCCCAGACACCCTGATACAATGCCCCAAGTGTTATGATGAAGAGCGTGGGGAACCTTGGCAGAGTCCATGGCAGGCAAGGGTGACTGAGGTAGAAAGACAAAAATGCCAGACAGACAGAGCTTAAGTGAGAATTTTTATTAGAAAGGAAAGGGGAGTGGGGAAGGGAAGAGAAAAGAGGTAAAGAGACACAGAGACAGAGAGAGAAGACAGAAGAGAAGAGGGAGGCAGGAAAAGTCCTGTCTGC